CATGGGACTCTCTGGGCAGATCCACTGCCACCTGATCACTGAGGAGTCCCAAGCGTGACCTTCAGCCCAAACCCAAGCACACAAACCCACAGGCACCTTGGAACGCTTCTCACCCAATGACAGACACCACCGTGATATGGAGCCAGGTGAGAGTAGGACTCAGACCCCTCCCTCCTCCTGTCAGTCAGTGCATACTGTCAGTTCTGCTTCTAGACCACCCTGATCCCAATCCATGTGTGTTTGTCACTGCTGCCCTCACTGGTCTCCCTAATTTCCTTCGTGGGCAACTATAGTGGAGGGTACCTCTATTTCTCTTGTCTTTTCAGTGCTGGAGATCAAACCCAAGGAGGGCAGCTGTTGGGATTGGGGAAGCGGATAAATAAATAGCAGGCCTCTCAAATTCTGAACCAAGTGAAAGAAAAGACGCAGAAGTCAAACACAGATCAAATCATTAGTTTTATCATAGATAAGCTATGCTAAACTCACAGCAAGGCAATTTACACCCACTAGGATGGGTGTAATAGAGCCACAGCAATGGCCAGACATGCAGACTCTGTGCCCTGCTCTGAGATTGTTAGGCGAAGTGATTGTGTCGGGGAAATGGTCTGGTGACGCCTCAAAAAATTAAACATAGAGAGGCCAGCCGAAACAATAGTCCCACTTTTAGGTGTGCCCACCACGAGACCAAGAACACGCTCCACAAAAACTCATTTGTGAATGTCCCTAACAGCCTTATTCATACAGCCAGAGTGCAGACAGCCAAAGCTCCATCAGCTGGTGACTGGCAAACAGATGCAGCACGGCCGCTTAGTCATAAACGAAGTGTGGATCTGCAGAAGATGTCGATGGATCTTGCAAGCATCATGCTAAATATGGTGGTGCCAGAGTATCTCCAGAATTCAAGTTGAAACAAGTCCCCTGTGGGGTGGCATGGCCAAGGCAGCTGTTGAGGAAGGAGTGTAGGACTTGTGACAAGTCCCTCTCCCTGAGAGCTGGAGGGAGCTGGCTTAAGGCATCTCTGCTCCTCCGTTCCTCCACTACATGAGGGTGTATCTGTTCTCCCCTTCATCCTTCATGCGAGGACCCCTTAACAGCACTGTGTCTCAGTAACTCAGGAAAAGGCCTTCACTAGATGCTAGATGCCAGACCTGTCAGCCCCTTGGTTTCCAGCTCCAGACTTTGAGATCAATAGATTTCTGTTGTTTATAAATCATTCAGTCCCAGGTGGGCATGGTGGCACAAGCCTGTTATCCCAGTGCCCAGGAGGCTGAAGCAGGATTGCTACAAGGTTGAAACTAGCCTGAGCTATGTAGTGAGTTTCAGGTCAGCCAGAGTTACATACAGTATGTAAGACTTTCAATAAATAAATAGAGGCTGGAGAGGTGGCTCAGCAATTAAAAGCACTTGCTGCTCTTGCAAAGAACCTGGGTTCAGTTCCCAGCACCCACATGATGGATCACAATGGACTGTAACTCCAGTTCCAAGCAATTGATCCAGCACCCCCTTCTGGCTTCTGTGGGCATTGCACACACATGATGTACTTACATGCAGACAAAACACTCATACATAAAATAAAAATTAATCTTAAATAAAATTGTTCAGTCTCAGTTATGTTGTGTCAGTAAGAATGGACTGAGATGCTCAGTGGAAGAAGGCAGATGTGACAAAGTCACCTAGTAGGGCTGGGGTATAACAGCAGGAGAGTGCTGGCCTAGTATGTGCAAGGCCCAGATTCTGTCCCAGCACCAGGACAAAAAGGCCCATTCTATTTCTACACAATGTCTGGAACAGACAAATCCAGAGACAGAAAGCAGGTTAGTGGTTCCCAGCACAGGTGCAGGGTGGACCAGGAAGTGGCAGCTCACAGGTACAGGGATCCTTTGTGGCAAATAAAAAGGTTCTCAGTCGGACTATCATTTAGCTGCTGATGATAATCAGGAACTTCCAGGAATGTGAGTCATAGCTCAATCAAGCATCGATTAAAATGTAGATTCAGAGGCAGGCGGATCTTTGTGAGTTCGAGGCCAGCCTGGTCTACATAATGAGTTCCAGGACAGCTGGGGCTACAAAGAGACCCTGTCTCAAAAATACAAAAAAAAAAAAACAAACGTAGATTCAACACCTCTTCTATGGCCCTGTGACCCTGCAACTTCCCTTAGGCCTGAGTAGCCCCCTCCCTGCCAATACCTGGGCCATAGCTCCCCTGTGGAGACTGTATCCCCAAGGTGAGCCCAGGACCCTGGACTTGGAGGCTGCCATGAGAGGCTATCCCTGCCAGCTCCTGGGGTGGAGGGTGGGGGTATCCCGACGCAGCCTGCTTGGTTCATTCTCAGCCAGGATGTTTGTTTTCAGAGCATTTCTCTGTGTCTTTGCTGTCTGGACACTTACAGTGCTGTTGTGAACTCATCAGTTGCTGTCACTGAATAGTGATCTTTTTTTAAAAAATATTTTATTTATTATTTTTATTTTATGTGTATGAATGTATTGCATGCATATGAGTGCACAAGTGTTGTGCAGTGCAATGGAGATCAGAAGAAGGCTTCAGATTCCCCTGGAACTGGAGTTAAGGATGGTTCATAGCCGCCATGTGAGTGCTGGGAATCGAACCCGGGTCCTCTGCAAGAGCAGTCAGTGCTCTTAATCTCTGAGCCATCTCTCCAGCCCCTTATTTTCCCTCCTTTTTTTTTGTCTTTTTGAGACAGGATCCCCCTGAAGCCCCAGCTGGTCTGGAACTCTCTATGTAGGCCAGGCTGACCTTGAACTCATGGAGATCTGCCTGCCTCTGCCTCTTGAGTGCTGGGATTAAAGGCGTGCACTACCACGCCTGGCTTTTCCCTTTATATTTTCATCTTTTGGCTTTGCTTAGGGATCCAATGTTTTATTCTCTAAGATGCACAGCTTGTTGCACAAACACAGGTTAATTTAACTCTTTATTCTACCTTCCTTGAGGCTTCTCCTTTCCCGTACCACAGAGCAGCTTCAGGCTCCCGTCCTCCTGTCTCCACCCTAAGCTGCTGAATCCTATCTCCTGGCCTCTGGGCAGTTGGCTAGTCACTGTTTTTCCTCACAGACCTTCGACACAAGTAAAACATGTGCAGATTGATGGGCTTCCCCTTCTCTGTCTCTCTGGGCATCAACCTAGGTATACTGGCCTCTGGGTCCTCCCAGTCCTACCTACAGGTCAAGATCCCCAGTGGTTCCAGACCACCCAACTACCAATATGCAAAAGCACCTCAGCTGGGGTCATGCTAGGCCACAGATGCCACTTGCCCAACTTCTAAGGCTGAACATTGTGGCAGTCTTCAGTCCCTGAAATGAGTCAAGGCTACACTGTGTCATTTATTGAAGCCTGGAGAGGCAGGCACAAATTCCGTCCCATCCCTGAGCCTTCCCTGCCAGGACTTTTGATCAGCCCCTCACATACCCATCAGCTCTGCCCTGTGGACCTACCAAGCTGTCCATCTTTTCTCCAACTACAGAACAGACAGGGGACCCTCCCTCCCACCTGAGCTGTCTGGAATTTACTGTTCTGCCACAGAGCAAACCTCCTTTCTTGGGGCCTGGCACCCTGGGCAGCTCTTGTGACACTCCTAGCTTTAGAAGAACCCAGACAGTGACTGACGGGCTGGTGAACAGTGGAGAGAAACGCTGACTCCAGCAGTCTTGTCCCTTCCCAGTTCTGTTTCTTGGCCACAGGGTTACCCTTACCCGTCTTCTACCCTCACAGTGCTCAGTTTCCTCACCTGGGGGGACACTGCACCCTGAAGACAACATGGCTGTCACTAAGCAGAGTCCCAAGCATTCTGCTCCTGCCCCCAGAACAGGTCATCCTCTGCAGGTCTGGGGGAACTTGTAGGCTCGGGGCAAACTCAAGCCTGACCTCTGGGGCCCCGCCTTGGCCAGGGCTCTCTCCCAGCTCTCGGGAGAGTGAGCAACCCTGGTCCCTGTCAGGATTATTCTGACCAGCTGTACCTCAAGGCCCTTCCAGCTCAGATCCACCAGATCACGGCACACTTAGGGCCGGCCACTTAGGCCCAGATTTCTCAGATGGGCAGGGGCACTTCTGTGAGAGCAGGCCTGCCTTGCTGTCCTTGAAGCTGGGCTGACTGTCCCACTGGGGTACCTAAGAAGCAGTGTCCACTGAGCACCGGCCAGGGCTTGTAATATCTTCTAACCTCTCATTTCAGACCCTGTAGGCTCACCTGCCCCAGACACTGAGGTACCCACCCATCTAACTGCTTCCCTGGACAACTTGAGCACATTTTAGCTTTGTGGGTCTCAGATTTTTCCATCTGTAAAATGGAGCAGATAACAGGAGTTCACAGCCATTTATTGTCTGTATCCCCTGAGCAGGTTCGGGCTGTGCAGTTTGTGAACCATCAGCCTAACTCTCCCAGGACATTTCTCCCAGGCTGTTGGCTTTGATGGCCAGTGCTTGGAAGGCTCTTCCTCGAGGGTGGAGACCAGAGGGTGGCATTCCTGGCAGCCAGTGGGTATGGCCTGCCAGATCTTCCAGCTCCGCCTAGCAGTATTCCAGTTTTCAATGTCAAATAGACCGCCTGACTTCATCAGAGAGGAAGCTGGGAAGATACACAGGCCAGGTCTGTGTGTAAACAAGGGCAGGGGCTCCAGGAGGAGAGGGCGAGGCTCAGAGGCCAGGGAAGAGACTCATCTTGAAGGGGCTGCAGGTAGCTGAAGACCTCTGGAATGGGTGACCCCATGGTGGGTCTTAAGTGACAATGTGTGAGACTAGACAGGACTTCAGGAACTAGGCAGCCCATGCATGAGAGAACCTGGTCCCCAGGGGAAGGAGTGCTGGCCCAGCCTTGTATACCTCAGAACAACAGGCTAAAGCTGGATGCACCCGCTTATAGACTGGACATAAACCAGGTAGCCTAGCTCAAGGGGTTCCAGCCTGTGGGGCTGAGCCTGTGGTGCTGGTGAGCCTGGTTACTTGGACCACCTCCAAGCCTGGGACCCATTGTGGACACACTTGGCCAATGACAGGCTGGGACATCATTATGCTGCAGGTGCAGGTAAGGTTCTGAGACTGCCAGAGCCTCGCAGCATGAAAAGATGTGGCTGAGGCAGGTGTATGGGGGTTGCCCAGGCACACATCTGGGCTGAGGAAAGGTGTGCCTGCCAGGGGAGAGGTGAGCCGGGCAGCCGGGAGGCCTCTAGGGAGCTAGAAGAGCACCCTGGCACAGAGACTAACCTCCCAGGACTGATCCAAGCCATGTAAGCATTTTCAAGATTCTGTCAAGCTGTCATGCTGCCTGCCTTAACAGCCAGCAGTTGACAGACCCCAGGGGACCACACACACACACACACACACACACACACACACACACACACACGCAACAGGGGCCTGGAAGCTGCCCTGGACACAGCTGCCTCCTTCCTGCCACCCCCAGTGCAGTGCTCTGTGATGACCCACAGCTCAAGGTTCTGAGCCCTTCAACACACTCACCTCAGCTGCACAGTATATCTTCCCAGAGCATGGCTCTCATTAGGCTGCCCTCCCCTGGGCAGAGGTGCGGAGTCCTGTACAGCATAGCTCCTCCCCAGCCAGTCCTGGAACATCCAGGCTGGCAGGCCAGTACACCAGTTGACCAGGGCTGCCACTGAGCCATCAGCTGCAACACCTGGCCCTGTCTCTTGGTTCTATTTCATGGAGGCAAGAGGTCCAAGATCAAGGTGCAGTCAGGTTGGTGTCTCCCAAGGCCTACACATGATCATTGTAGTACTTCCTGTGACATGGAAGTACATGACTCTTCCACGTCGAGGCCCTGGTATCTGTGTCTACATTTCCCATTCTAATAAGGACGCCAGTCAGACTGGATCAAGCGCACTCTAATGGCCTCATTCCTGTGTGCATGTGCTCACGGGGCAGCAGGTTCACATATGTGTGGGTATGTTTGGAGGCCAGATGACCACCTTTGTTGTCTGTGGACTGAGCTATCTTCTGAGCCCCTGAAAGCCTCATTTAGCCCTTTAAAGTAGTCCCTGTCTCCAAATAAGTCACTATTTCTACCTGGAGCTCCCAAACATGAATTTGAGGGTACACACTTCAGTCCACAGCAACCACTGAGGAATCCTGGGCCCTCACCAGTGGACTGGCTGTGAGTTCACCCAATGAAGAGGGAGTGAGGCCCCTCCTTATGCAGCTGTCTCCTTAGATGGAGTTCCTGAAGGGCTGAGGTGGAGGTGGGTCTCCTCTGAGCCCCATCTGGTTACAGGAGACTATGGCCAATGTGGGGCATTTATAGGACACCTGTTCTACTTTGTTTCTCCATTGCTGTGACAAAACACTCTGACCACTACCAACTTGGGGAGGAAAGAGTTTATTTGACTTACATCTCCTGGGTCACAGTTCATCAGGGAGCCCAAAGTAAGAACTCAGGGCAGGAACCTGGAGGCAGGAGCTGGAGCACAGGCCATGGAGGAACACTGCTTACTGGCTTGCTTCCCTGGCCCCTGCTCAGCCTGCTTTCTTATGTAACACAGGCGCACCTGCCCAGGGGTGCCACCACCCACAGTGGGCTGGGCTCTCCCACATCGCTCAGTAATCAAAAAGATGCCCCACAGACATGGCCACAGGCCAGTCCAATGGAGGCAATTCCTCATCTGAGGCTCCTTCAACACAGATATGTCAAGTTGACAGTAAAGCTGTCCAGCACAACACCACATGATTAAAAGTGAAGGGACAGAAGGGAGCCAAGTGCAGGAAGCCAGAAAAAGCTGCCTGCAGGGAGCTGGTATTTCAGAGTCCCTGTAGCCCTTGCCAGGCAAATCCCTCACACACAACAGCAGCAACAGGACCCACCTAGCCTTGACACCAGGTTTCCAACGAAGTTTCATGTCTGCATTCTCCAAGCCTCACTGTGAGAGCCCTGGGAGGATGGGGCTGGGGCTGCCCTTCCTGTGTCCACCCACTGAGCTACATCAGGTGCAGCTTGCCCAAGGGCGGCTGCAGAGCTGTCCTGGAGCCTAGAACTGGGCTGGGCTCCCAGGAAGCCCTGATTCATAGCTGTTTTTACCTAGTAGATGGTCACAGGGAACCAGCAGGATCAGACCTGTACCTTAACCACCTGGTGCCAGGCACAGCAGAGAGGCTGGGTAGACTTGACCAGCTCTGCCTCAGTCTACAGTGGCAGGAGGGCAGAAGGCTCCATCGTGGAGCCAGACCCTGATGTGACTCTTGACTTGTTATATTAGAGCCCTGAACGCTTGGAATGAAAGCATGTGGATAGATGTAACCATTTAACCAACTAGAATACTCTATGTGCAGGGACTGTTTTAGATACTAGGGGCTAGCTGGGAGGAAGCCCTCCTTTCTCCCTCTCCTCCCCCTCCCCCTCCCAGCC